CCAACCTAACAGCAGATACCTCTCCCATCCAGTTAATCCTAAACAAATTACTGGTTTTCACTCATTTGAACTACTTTCAAACTGTTAGTAGTATGAGAACTTAGAGCCAATATTATTGAACCTCTGTTAGCTCCATAAAAATGTCTCCAGGGCCCTTATTGTTGTTCTGTTCTCTTCAAATGGTTTTGAACAGAAATCTTTACATATTTAACTCCCATATCTAGGAACAAGGAAATATTTACTTCTTTAGATGAAACTAATGAACAAAACTAATCTCTGACCCTGTAGAATTTGGTGTACTAGACTGTCAGCCACACCTTATAGACTAGGGCTGTGAGACAACATTTTTGCTTGGTTTAAGTTCACTGGAGCGATACTGAGGTCCGAACTTTTCGCTTTAAAGTCAGGTGTTTAACCTATGAACCTTACTTCTCTGTACCCTCATAGAAGTATCTGTAGCTCTAATGTTCAACGGCATTATTTTGTGCTCAAAAATCAGACAAGCGTGAAGTTTTGATGGAACTTACCTAGGTTAAAATTCGTGAGTCATCTCTATACAATAGGCCTTTTAAAGGATAAGTACTCTCAAGGAATAAAACCTCAGCTAAGTAGTAATGTATTTTTTATTTGTCTCTTATTCGTTGCACGAAATTTAAGTGAAACAATAAAGGGTTTGAGTTTCCTCTAAGATTCTGCCAAGATGTTCACAAAGTACCTACTTCGATTGAGGATAAGAAAAAGCTGAGGATTTTTAGTTCAATTTTGTAAAGAAACAGAAAAACTCAGGTAGTCAGAAACATCAATTGTACCGACTTACACTTTCATACTATATAACATGATGAAAAGTTTAGACGAAAATGGAAATTTTTTCCTGGTAAACAGTGGTATTGCAAAGTAGAGAGTAGTAAGTTTGAGAATTTGAATATTGGAACTCCAGAAGGTGCAAATTGGATCCATCTCAAACATTACGATTTCTTTGGTAGCCACCTCATCTTAAAGACTCCAGTCGTTAGCTTCTGACAGTGAAGTAGCCCGCACTTCTGAACACTTCACAGACTTTCAGTGACTTTATGGACTAGTGTCCTGTCTTAGGAGTTGAATTACAGTAAACCGCTTTTTCCAGCTTTGGTTTTCGACAGTATTGTGTTCTTTCTTACCCTGATATCATACGAAATTTTGTGCAGTAAGTAATGAGCAATGCCTATTATGTGAGGGCTGAAGATACTACCTGACTGGTCAGATTTACGGGGGGGGGGGGGTAAAGCGGTATTCAAACCCACAATCCACAGACTGTAAGTCCGATCTTCAAATCAACTAGCCATCGCTGCTGAAATTTAACTGTAAATTACTGGGTTGCGGGTTTAATTCTTTTCCGCCTACTTTCGTCTGGGTATTTAAATAGCATTGTGAAGCCTATTTTAGTGCTGTTTACAGCGTAGTGCGCAAATGTATTGTTGAAATTCAGTATCTACTTGTTAATGTCTGATTAGGAAGCTCTTTAATCACGGGAAGAAAGGATGTCTATTTAGAGTGTTTTCTGTTTTAAGCACCAACCTAATTCTTAAAGCTTCACTAAATGTTCTACCTAAGTTACGTAAAATATCTACTGCTTTCGCAGTAATCCAAGTTGGTGAGTTACGAATACATTTTCTGAAGATTTTGTTCGTACTTATCTCCTGTATGACCTAATTCAAGCCATCTGATGACTTGATCTCGTAAAAAGTTTTGATAAATGAATAAAGGTTATTCCACGAGAACTCATTTTGAAAACCGATAGAGTATCAAATGAAGGAAGTGAATCAAACATGCTTTAAACAGAGTTTTCGGGAAAATGAGTCAGTTGGTTCTCAACCATGAGTATAACATCTTCAAGGGTAAGCTGTAAGTCGAAGTTGTTTCCGTGTGCTACTTATACTAAGGGTTTTGGCCACTTCTACATAAATTCACGATGAGGTTTGTTTCGGATTTCATCGACAACATGAATCACTAAAGTAGGCCTTAGAATCATGCTACTGGTTAAGGTCCTTTATGCATAAATATTAAAGTTAATTCGTATGGGGTAAAAATCAAAATTTATGGCGAATATGGGAATCATATTCGAAAAGTATGCCATTCATAGATATTTTATGAAATTCTGAAAAGATAATTAAGTCCACATTGTATTATCAATCTTATCATTTCTTCAAATGTAAGGTTGTGTTTTTCTCAAACCGTTTGTTTAAACTATAACTAACATGATGTAGTTGCTTGTATTATCCTGTCGTTGAGTGGATCAAATTGATCGACCTCCATTAGTATATGGGCTCCTACATGGATGCCTCGATATTGCCTGTGTTTGAGTTATGTATAGTAATGATGGATAGTGGCTAACAGTGGAATCCAGGACTCGTATTTCGTCCTATTTGAGGAGAGGTACATCCAGCTGACGAGTCTCAAATAAGACAAAACGCACGTCTTGGATTCTACTCCTAGCCACTATCCGATATCCATAAATAACTAACATAACCCATGAACTACGTACGTATTTTTGAACTCGGTTGTAAATCACACCTTGTGAATGAGTTATTAACATTAACTAACTGCTAAATCTTCTAAATGATGAAATGTACTTTGAATTTACAACCAATTTAGTGTGCTACATACCCAAGAGCAGTTAATTATATCAGTATTGTGAAGACATCACTCATTGGCTTAAACATAGAACTTTTAGCAATTCCCACTCCAACTACTTCGGTTTGGACAGCCAGGTAGTGTCATAAGTTCTTACACAGTAATTGCAGCTCATAGCCTGGTAGATATACGTGTACCACCGGGTTGAGTTGCATCACACATAAGTATTGTCAACATTTCATTTTCTCTTAGTATTTGGTAATTAAGTCACGCAGGGGAACTGATGAACAGGTTTACATAGTTGTTGAGCATTTCTGCTAAAGGTGAAAAATTATTTTGGATTTACGGTCCCTAATAGAAGTCCCGACGATTTCTTTGTATAATTTAGTTTTTAGTCTACACGATGGTGTAAATCTTAAATTTTTGGTCAGATAAATGCATGTCGTTTGGTTTTGAAAACAGAATTGCTTACTGTTTGGTACTGTGTACTATTTGTAAAACTTTACTCTCTTCACACTTCTATGTTATTTATCGTTGAAGTTACAGATGTAACTTATAGAATATTCTATCCAGTCAGTCCTTCATATTTTTGTATATTTATTGCCAACTTTAGATAGAATCTTAACAATATTGAGGGTTGGGCATAACAGAGTATGCTCTGATTACTGGTTGAATTCAGTGTTTGTGTATGACCACCGTAAATTTCTAGCATATAAAATGTTTTCATGAGACATTCTTAAAACGAAGTTTAAGTATTCAATAACGTATAGGGTTATTGCTTAGCTTGTGTCTTTAATAACTACTTTTATTCTTACAATAAACTTGTGACATCATATCGTGTATGAGTATTCGGAAATCCCCCCAACCATTGTTAGTAGCTGTTCATTTTCATTCAATGACAAATATGCGGGCGTTTTTGTTGTTGTTGTTACTGTCAAAGTCATATTTTTTCCGTCAAGATCAATTATGTTAATTATGAGTATTGGTGGTGATTGCATTTGTGGACTAAAACATCTGTATTATAGTGCAAGTATCCATGATACAAGTGAATAAGTTCAGTTGTATCTCAAGGTTGTACTCTACAAAAGTTAATCGATACATTATGAAGTGAAAAAATGAATAATTAAATTGAAGAGATAACTGTGGAAAGAAACAGGTGATATGTTAGTGATTGTGGTGTTGTTCTCTCTCTCTCTCTCCCTCTCCCTCTCCCTCTCGAGTATATGTACTGAATTCTTTTATGAAACGTTCACTGAAATCTATAATTTTGTCAGCTTGCTTTTAGTCACCAGAGCTAGGAAGCTCAGCGATATGATACATTTTGGTGATCTAGTAATTTACAATCGTAAAATGAGAATCTCATGTTTCACTTAACTGTTAAACTTTCAAATTTTGTTGTTTCAACCATGTAAAATCCATGTAAGAAGACGCAGTACGCCTACTGAAGAAATAATTTTAATTCGTAAAAAGCACTAAGAATGAATTACAGGGATTTACATGTACATATATCGTTGCATTTTCGTCATCTACTTAAACGCTGCCAGTAATCAAGTAACGAGACGAATAAAGATCAACACACAGTTGTGGTGTGAATTTTTAAACGATGATGTTGGTCCAATGGCAAAGTCGTGCTGCTGCTAGCTGGCTGGAGTGTGACCAGCAGTGCCGCATTGATGTTGCCTCTTCCCTATGGTAAGGGTGTGGGTTGAAAAGGTTTACTCCAAAATTAGCACACGCCTCCTGTCCTACGGTCTTCCGATGCCGGTGGTACGGGTTCCCTCTCTCCTCGGCGTTAGAACAAGTATACCTAAAAACAACAACCCACAAAAGACTGTGTGTGACAGGCCCTCAAACAGGTGTCCCATAGGCTCTGCGGTCACACATATCTTCTCTTTTCAGGTACCTTAAGAAGAAATAGCCCTCCATGGTGTAAACAGTTGGGACATGTCAACCGCCCACCCGCTTCTAGTTGTACACAACGCTTTAAAGTCCATAATCCATTAAAATATAGTAGTAGTGGTAGTAGGAAAGCTTGGGGCATAGATAGTTGACTGTTAGGAGGCGGTGTAGGAAAAAGTAATAGAGTACTTCTCAAAGGGGGAACCATATATATGTCTATCATAGTACTTTAACTCATACTATGCTCACTTACCTAATACTTCTATATCCTTTATTTATAATCAACAGAGTAGTTTATGTCTCAGATTAGTGAAATCTAAAGCGAAGCAAGCGTGTATGTGTGCAACACACACACACACACGTATAAATTAAATATTTATGAATCCAATCATTATTCTTCTATTGTGTTCACGTGACTACTTTGAAAAGTGAATCAAAAATGCCTATATATATATATATATATATATATATATATATATATATGCATTGGTGCAAAATAGTCTAATCATCTTAATTGAATGATTACAGGAGCCAATAATGATGCATACTTTTTGGCGGTTAATTTTTATTTGCATCATCAAATCACGAACAAAGTCACACGATACTTAATCATAATAATAATAATAATGAATGGAATGAAAAATAAATTCTCATACTTTATTTCAATTTCATTTCTTCAGTTTATTCCACCTCTGAAACAATCTTCATATGCAGTATATCAATTAAGTTCAGTATTTTTATTTATAAATAATAATAAAAAATAATATCTATCTATACATACATTCAAAAACGTGCTCGATCAAGTGTTTTATGTGCATGTAGGTTATACGTTTCATTTTCACTAACTACGTATTGGGCGTCCTTTTCTATTAACCTATATATATATATACATTATATATATATATATATATATATATATATATTGCACAATATTAGTACTTTTTTGCAAGTACATCCCTAATTTAATGATGGACTATATGTTTAATATAAAATTATTATCACGACTTTTCAGCGGTAATCGATTATGCAGCAAGACATTCAAATCGCGAAAAAACGTTTCTGAAAACAACAACAACAACAATAATAATAACAGTAATCACAACACCACCAGTGATAATCACAATAATAATAATAATAATGACACGGGTAGTAAGCAGCATGATATACTTCCTGAAACTGCTGCTACTCTCGGTAGTGGTGATTTACGACTAGCAGTTCGTCTTCCTGAAGGTGAGGATCTACACGAATGGATAGCTATCAATAGTAAGTCTTTCAGTCTGTTTATTACTTACTTACCTCTTGTTTGAAATTTATCTTTTTTAAACTCAAATGATAATGATAATTATTGGTAGTTGAGTGTACTTGTATTTATATGATTCACTAGTTGGAACGTTATTTATCGATCTGTGGCTGATCTAAACAGTTAACATTCAACCGTCGATTTATAAATCATTGCGTTGATAACTGATTCCCAGGTGTGTTTTAGTGTATGCCAGCTGAAGATACATGGATTACGTAATATGACAAAAAGTTAGCCATTTAGCTAGATATATCATGTAGTAGTAGTAGTAGTGGTATGAATGGCTATTACAACTCTGTAACAATATATTGGTTCATGCATATCAGGTCATGAGACATTTTACCTGTGAACACTGATGATACTGGTTGGTTGCTCGAACTCAACTACCACCAGAATCTTTGTGCACTAGATAATGAACCACACTTACTGTTTAACACTACCTAAATGCTTGGGTTTTGGTAAGTGGGATGGGGGTTGAACTCATGATGAAAGTCAAGTACCCAAGCCAATAAACCATGACTCTCCATCCATCCATCTAAGTCAACATAGGACCACACACTACTGCGTAACGGTCCGAGTTGCCACAGCTTATATCACTACATCAATTAAAAAGGCAGTGAAGTGGAAGATGAAGAAAAAGGTTCAATCAAACGAAATATCAATTACTAAAATAGAGAAAGGAAGAATGAGAAAATGGTGAGTTTCGGTATAGCTGTTAAGATGAGGATAATGTGTATATACATCTGCGCCACTGACATCCGTTCTGAGCCATATCACCTAGTCTCCCATCGCTGGTTTCCCTTGTCCCTTGACCCCAACCGACTAGTCCGCATCGCCCCACATGCCTCAAACCAACAGTCAGAGACTTCATACACTGGTGCTATGTTTTAGTCTAGCCACCTCGACCCTTTCTCCGGTGTTAACCTACTTCACCCAACATTGTGTGATGAGGCAGACGGTGACTAGGCATATGTAACATGTCCCAACTATCTCAGTCGATGAAGGTTCACAACCTCGTCAACCGACTTACCTCTTCTCCCTAAAACTATACGCCTGATCCTGACGTCTGCGTTACTCACGTGGTGACACAACGGAATACGGCCTATACTACGAAGGCAATGGTGGTCAAACACTTGAAGCTAGCCTTCTCATGTCTTGCACCTTCAATGGCCATGTTTCACAGCCATACAGTAGAACACAGTGAACTGCTGTGCAGTACACACAACCCTTAATAGACAATCGGATATCACGGCGGCGCCACAGGTGGCGTAAGTTGCCAAAAGCTAGTCGAGCGTTTGTATTCGTGCAGAAATTTCATCGGCCACTGAGCCAGCCACCAGGGCTGATCCCACTTCCCAAGTAAGTGAAGTGGTCAACTCACTCAACTACTACACTCTCTATTGTTAACCGAGGCACCGTCGAAGACCAATCGTGGAGTAACAATTTACATTTGGGTGGTGAGAAACGCGTCCCAAGCATTCTCAAATTGTTACTCAAAGTGTTCAGAAGATTTTGCATGTTGTCAGCGTCTTCACCTAACAAGACTATGTCATCTGCATATTCTAGGTCTAACGAAAATTCTCCTTCGATTAGGTCAATGTCTGTAATCAGGTGACGAGAGGGAGACCTTCATAAGGATATTTATGATAAAATTGAATAAGAATGGAGACAGTGGGCAGCCTTGGTGGACACCACTCGACGAGTACAGCTCCACGGATTTATCACTATAGGCTCTAACACGCTCACAAGTGTACGAGTAAAGAGCCTTCAATAAGGTGATGTACTTACTTGCCACGCCCTTCAGTGAGAGACATTGCCATAAGATTTCTCAATGAACGGGGTCGAATGCCGCCTTCAGGTGGAGAAATACAGCTATTGTTGGGCATCGCTAAGTGTGCCTGTGTTCCAAAACCTGATGTAGTGTGAATATTTGGTCGATACCGTGACTCTACAATAGGTTAAAACGCAGATAATTCTGGATTATTTGTATGCATTTTAGCATACACTGCGTATCTGTTTATAATTCTGATCCGTTTTATTTTTGGTACTTCGTAAATATTTCCGTAGTATTTTTACTTTCAATCTTTATAATCTTGTTTATTACCGAAGTATAAATATTCATTCGTATATCACTGCCAGTGGATATACATTCATTTGGTGATAGATTCACTTTTCAGCATATATTCTTAATACTGCTAGGAATAATAAAATAGTGTACAGCTAACTGACAACTTGAGGGTTTCATGTGATGGGCCGTTTATTTATTTATTTATGTCCCTTGGGTTCCTAATAGAACATAGGGCTTCAGTAGCACGTCTCCAATGCGTTCTGTTCTCTGTAATCTTTTGAACCTGGCTCCACGACAGCTCAGAAGCTTTCATTTCTTCCTCACACAATTTCCTCCATGTCACCCTCGTCTCGGACGCCCAACTCGTCGTTTCCCATCTGGGTTCCACTCGAGTGCCTGGAGCGTGATGTCCTCTAATAGTCTTCTCAGTGCTTGCCCAATCCATCACCACTTCCTTCCAGTGCATATTTGTTGAGCGATAGGTTCTTGGTTGGTTCGTTCCCAGAGTTCCTTGTTACTTATTCTTTCTGGCCATCTGATCTTCAGCAACGAGCCAGCGTAGGCAGTTGTTGATGAATGTCTACTCGTATCTATTGTGCTAAGTATAATCATACTGCTGTAGCTTTTCTAATTCCTTGATCTCTACTTAAAAATCGAGTGTATAGTACTGAACCACATCTCCTATTACTTTCGAAGCAATGAATTACACATGGAATGAGTCAACTACTCATTCAATTTAGGTGTGATTAGAAATAAACCACTATTTACAAATTCGTCTAATAAGTATATTTTGCTAATTTTATTAATCCATAGATAAAATAAAGCAGACAAAGCGTAATTCCAATCTACTTGACTCATTACATATATCACAGGGTGGACACGTATTATCTACTGGATTACGTTTCACACGCAATCTACACTTCGTATTCAAGTTAGGTAACTCCACAACTTTAAGACATGCTTGACAAACATCCAATATCCCTTTCCTCCTTTGTGATATGAGGGTAAAATTTCCATATATCCGAGACAGATACTTAGTCATTCCCACCCCACATATTACATGTTGATTCGATAAACAAGGATTCAGTTATCCACTACACCCCACTACACCAAGTTAGTTTCAGAGATTGCCAGTCACTGCCGCATCTTCCTCTATGTGTGTATGTGTGTGTGTATTTAGTCACACGCAAAACTGTGGCCAAGCATCTCCATACATTCCATCTACCACTAGTGTCTACTAAACTTGATCTAGCTAAGCTGTCGAGCTAAGACAGAATAATCGAATGTGGTCAACTACTCTGTCTGACCCATAGGTATTTGACCTCACCAATACTGCAAGCCATTCATTCATTGGTTAAACTAAACTATTTTACCTGATTGGATCAACACGATCTTCCAACCTACAAAGATACTCTCTCAGTGAGTTGCCTGACTGAAATCCCACTAGAGAACCAGTCTTATTGGCAATCCCACGTAATGTCTCTCACTTGTCTTCCTTGTATCACATCACCGTAACAGTTTTCTATTCTTCTCCAACTGTATTGCCGTGTTACTATTACTGTCGTTATTGGCAAACATATTGAATCAGTCTTATTATTGACTTGGACTCCAAACCCACCTCATGTTACGTCAGTCAAAGTAGGTTTAGTAAAATGGCTGAGTAACAATGCTAAAAATGATTATTTGCAAAACAGAAGACGTGAGACGAGAAATCGAATAGACTGAGGACACCTTCGTTATCAGTAATCAACCTCCTTAATTATTTCGTAAGTTCAACAGTGTAATTGTTATAAAAATCTAGTGGATATTGGTATGACAGGTGGTAATAACAGTAACAATGACGGTTACACTGTGAGGAGACAATCAGAAGCGTCGAGGGTGCTATGATACAAGGAAGATAAGTGAGAGACATTACGTGGGATTGCCAATAAGACTGGTTCTCTAGTGGGATTTCAGTCAGGCAACTCACTGAGAGAGTATCTTTGTAGGTTGGAAGATCGTGTTGATCCAATCAGGTAAAATAGTTTAGTTTAACCAATGAATGAATGGCTTGCAGTATTGGTGAGGTCAAATACCTATGGGTCAGACAGAGTAGTTGACCACATTCGATTATTCTGTCTTAGCTCGACAGCTTAGCTAGATCAAGTTTAGTAGACACTAGTGGTAGATGGAATGTATGGAGATGCTTGGCCACAGTTTTGCGTGTGACTAAATACATATATATATATATAAATCACAAATTAGGCGAGTGAATTACTACTACATAAACCATGTGTCAAAGTTGTGGAACTATCCTTCTGCGTCTATCAACAATAATCCAATAAATTGTGATGTTTTACTGTATACTATGTCAATTAAGCGAATATTAATATGGATTTACATTCTACTACAGTGCCTAAGTTTTACGCCTATATTAGACAAAGCGTTCTTCACTCATGATAATACTACATGGGTCAGTAGTCAAATGGTTATGCAATTGTATAAAATCTGAAATTCTGAACTGAGTAAACTAAAGGAATGTAATGTACAAATAAATTTTACCTGATGGTATCTTGATTGTTCGAGATGTTGTAGATGAAGAATAGTATGCATTCCAGTCTGCTTAACCGTCTCACCGTTACTTGACAAGATTTCAGTGCTTACTTACTAAGTTAGTAATTGTTCATCAAAGTTAGGCAAATAAATCACTTTTTTACACGTTTCTATATTATTCTCATCATTTGTGTTCAATATTTATCGATAGCTGATAAAATGGGGATCCTTTATCGTCTATACTATGTTCTTTTATGGTGTATCATGACATGTGTTTGGCATGGTCTTCATAGATAATGATTAAACTAACGCCTTACCTTATTATAGTTTGATATCTAATATAGGTTTTACTCATGTTTGACG